AGTTAGAAAAGCAGATGGAGCTTGAACAGGAAATCTTTGAGAATGAAAGTATTCTACTGAGTCAGAAAAGGTCAAATATACTCCTCAAATAATTAAAATGTTCTGTGTACAAAAAATAAATACTTAAAGATTTTATTTATTTTTAGAGAGAGGGGAAGGGAGGGAGAGAAACATCAATGTGTGAGAGATAGATCAATAGATCAGTTGCCTCTCACATGCCCCCAGTTGGGGACCTGACCCACAATCCAGGCGTGTGCCGACTGGGAATCGAACTGACGACCCATTGGTTTGCAGGCCAGCACTCAATCCAATGAACCATACCAGCCAGGGCAAAAAGTAAATACTGTTGATGTGGTTGAGTGACTCAGAAGTGTAAACAAAACACAGCCCCAAATCACAGAACTACAAAACAAATATAACTTTATTATGTCTTTCAAGTTAAAAAGGAAAGATTGCTATTTACAAAAATTTGAAATGTAGGGTTGTGCTATTGACACTTGAAATTGGTTGGCAATTCATAAAAGTTAAAATGATTCTGTTAAAAGCTGCTGAGTATGCTAACGAAGAGATCTAGTTATAAGAATTATTTCTTACATTGGGTATACACAATTTGTGATATTTCAGTGACATTTTGGTTTTTCTTTAGCTGCAAGTTTTATTTTTAACTTACTACATTTTTTCCCTCAGCTTTATGGTTCCATAACGTAATTTCTGAAGAGTTTGGAGTGGGAGTGAATGTCTTTTGGAAGCACCTTCCATCTGAATGCTATGATAAAACAGATACCTATGGAAACAAAGATCCTACTGCAGCGTCAAGAGCTGCACAAATTTTGGACAGAGCCTTGAAAACACTGGCTGAATTACCAGAGGAATACAGGGACTTCTATGCACGGCGAATGGTCTTACACATTCAAGACAAAGCCTACAGCAAAAACTTCGAGTAAATAACAAAGTGAATGTAATACATATAAACTTAAATACAGTTAAGCTCAAATATTAGGGGAAAAAAAGATAATTCTTTGTTAAAAAAGGAAAATCAATTTCTTATTTACAGTTTAAGTACAAAGGGGTGTTCCCGTGGTATGTACTTAATACAGATCATTGTGGCTCAAAAGATGGTGTACTGGGACCACTCTTCAGCTTTCAAATGCAAAAACCCTAAAAATTTAACTTAAAATGACAAGAGAAGGTATTGACTTGTAATACATGAAATCTACTAAGATATTGGGCTTCAGTGTTTCTCATCCAGTGATCAGTTGTGTCATTAAGAACCTCTGGGTTTCCTGGCTGGCGTAGCTCAGTGGATTGAGCACGGGCTGTGAACCAAAGCATCACAGGTTCAATTCCCAATTGGGGCACATACCTGGGTTGCAGGCCACAGCCCCCAGCAACCACACATTGATGTTTCTCTCTCTCTCTTTCTTCCCCGCTTCCCTCTCTAAAAATAAATAAATAAAATCTTAAAAAAAAAAAAAAGAACCTCTGGGTTTTTTTCTTCCTGTTTTCAGCTGCAGCATTGGCAGCATCCTAAGGCGGGCTGCCTTCATGGAATGATTGCCACTAGCAGTTCAGGCCATATACACCTTCATTTACATGCTGTGGAGGAGTCAGGCTGGATTCCATGGGCCCTCTCAAGATGAGAGATTTCCCAAAACTCGCTACCAGATCATTGGGTCTCATTGATGTGAAGTGGCTTAGACCTCTCCATCCCTGAGCCAGCCAGTAGCGCATGGTATGGGCTAACCCTTAACCCAGCCTGGTCTATAAGAGATGGAAGTAGAATTTTCTTCCTCTGAGGCACACGTGGGCAAAATAGGTGATTGTTCACATCAGGATTTTGGTAAGGAGAAAAGGCGGGCAGCCAACAATGTCTACTACGTTAATCTTTTGAGTTTCTAAAAATAGATGCCTAGGTCCAACCTTTATAGACTTGGGTAGGTTATCTGTATTTGATAGATCTTATAGGTTTTAATCCATAATTAGGGTTGAGAACAGTTAGATTACCTGATGCTAATTTGGATTACTAGTTCTGCGATTCAGCCAAAACAAATGTTTCATCTGATCCTCGTTTTTCTTGGCATCCAGTGTAAGTCAAGCCTGTCCTCTCTTGCAGTTTTTAAATGTCAGAAAAATATTCAAATCAGTTTTAGTTTATACCGAAGGCTAAGCTTTCACCTAATTAAAGTTTTCCTCAATGCCTTTCCACCTTTCTCATATTTTAAAAAGAAATTTTAATACATGAGATATCCCAACAGTGTTGTCATTGAAGACAATGAGCCATTGTATGTAGATCTGTGCCCTTCTTTGTTTGGACCTAGTAATTTGCACTGTCATTAAAGACAAAATAGATTTACTGAACACAAATCTGCCCATCTAAAGCAGTCCGAATATATATATATTTGGTGCATTTTAGAGAAAATAATTTCCTCTATTGAAAATAATTTGTGTAGTTATATCCTGTGTTTAATTTTTTGATATTTTATTAACTAAAGGTCAGTAGTGTACATTAGGGTTCACTCTTTGTACGGAGAACAGATTGGTGGTTGCCAGAAGTGGAGGTGGGAGGAATGGGCTTGCAATACTGGTTTAGTGGGAACAGACTCCCTTAGCTTTTTCTTGTCTGGGAAGTTCTTTATTTCTCCTTCAATTTTAAATGATAGCCTTGCTGAGTCAAGTAGTATAGTAGGTCCTTGCTTTTCATCCCTTTGAATATTTCATGCCAGTCCCTTCTGGCTCACATCCTGTGTTTATAGTTTGATTAATTTCAAGTATGAAAAGAAAATTACAATAGTAAAGGAAGAATATATAAAAATTGCTTTGGACTTCCTAGAAGTCTTTGAGAAGAGATATTTAAGTTACTCAGGTCAACAAAAGTGAAGAGTCTGTCAGAAAAGGAACTGTTATATTAACTACATCTAATTTCTAGATTTTTGATATGTGGTTACTTATGTTAAGCAAAGAACTTTTAAAAAGAGCTTTTAAAGAACTTTTAAAAAAGCTTTTTTCCTATGGAAGGAATAGAAGATAAAACCCCTGTTAATTTGAACAGTATTTATAGCCAGCTTTTTAATAAACCCTCCTTCATTTTGCCTTTTTTTTTATCAGTAAGAGAATCAGTGCAAAGTATATAGCAACAAAGAAAACATGGAAGTAAAAAAATTATAATTTGTTCAATGAGTAATCCAACTCAGTTTTATTTAAGAAGCAGAATGAATGACCTTAAGCAGGTTAATCTATGAAACTTACTTTCCTCATCTTTAAAATTGAACTTATACTTTACAGGGTTGCTACAAAAATACAAGGAGATGGTTTAAGGGTAGACATATAATTGGTGCAAGCTTGCATTATATTCCTCTGCTGAGAAATTTGAGGTGAATTTTATCTAGAAAGCTTGAGATGAACACTTTGGGAAGTTTTAAATTTATCTCCCTGGTTATACTTTTTAATGTCAATGTTTATTTTAATCTTTTTTGCCTACCTGGTTGAAACCAAATGAGATGTTTTAATGTACAGAATATCACATGGTATTTGTGAGCTCTAACTTCTCAGGAATTCCAAATCTTAGAATTTTACTGTTGAAAGGGATTTTAGAAATCACCTAATCAATCCAGATTGCTTAAATGACTGTCCAGACTCACACAGTTGGGTGGTAGAAACTGGAATTATAGTTGCAGTGACCATATCAGTAATTCTCCATTCTTTCTCCTTTAAGTGCAGCTCATCTCAGACACTTATGAATATATTACAGAGTTATTCTTTGGCTACAGTTTGGGGGCTTGACCTGACCCACAAAGGAATAGGTTTCCTCTACCAGAAACTTTTCATTGTATTGCTTGCTACATAGACAAGGGATATAAACGAAGACGAATGATGATGCACAGGTAGACAAGAAGGTGTAATAGAAAAATGGAATACTATGCAGCCAAAGAATGAGGCAGATGTGTGTGTGTACACACACATATACATGTACTAGCAAGGACTAGTAAGAAACAGGACCAAAAGTGGGTGTGGTATGCTGCCATTTATGCTGTAAGTAAACATACAGGGATGAGCAAAAGTAGATTTACAGTTATTATACAATAATAAACTTTCATGCATTTACAACTACAAACCTTTTGCTCACCTCCATATATTTGTATATACACAGAATTATCTCTGCAAAGATACTCAAGAAACCAGGAATAGTGACTGCTTCTGAGGTTAGACAAGTAGCTGGGAAGGCGAATCTGCAATTTTGTATTTGAATTGTGTATTTGTTTTTGCCCTTTATTATAAATAAATAGCTTTTAAACATATGTGTGTAGGTTGTAATTCCTACCTTTTCATGAACATTAACAGTATTTGTCTTGGTACATAATTACACTGGAATTCTATGTATTTATTCAGTAATCAACTTGTTCTTTCCATGGATCAAAACAAGGGAAACAAAGTCAACCAGTCTTACTTTGTATCTTTCTGTTCTTTTGAATTGCAGCTAGCTATGTGAACATTTGGAAAGAACTTTAATAACAAGGCTTTTCTCTCACCTATCTAAAGTTGCCAACAGATATCTAAGCTGAAGTTTGTAAGTTGACGGAGGAAAAAAAAGGTGGGAAGCTGGAACGTGGGTCTGGGTGGAGTTGGAACTGCACTGCTGAGACTCCTTCTCCCAGTGCTGAAAGACAGATGTAGTCATGAGGAACTAATGTGGATTGGCAGTCAGCCACTTATCGCTGGTGTTACCTTAAAGTCTCATTTCAAGCATACTGGCTATGAAGCGCTTGAATGCCTTAAATACACTTAAGTTATATTCTAGTTTTAAAAGTTCTATTACATACTAAAATGACCATCTTAAAGTTACTAGCTTCTCTGCCTCTGTAAAAAGCAATCTTAATTTACAGATGAGGTCTATCTACATGTGCATCTTCAAAAGCTTGTTTTCCTTAAAGGCCCTTAAAGTAGAACACAATAGCTCTTTTTAAGAATATTTTCTCTTAAGCCTTACACATTCCTGTACTCACATGCTGGAACTGTTTTGTCGGTACTATGTCCTTAGTGCTTAGACTTTCCTTGTCCTTGGTGGGTGCGTAGATACTACATAAATGAAATGGGGGAAAAAAGTCACACTATATTCTGACTAAATCTCTTAAGGACAGCTAAAGGAAAACAGATACCTGAGATGATTAGCACAGAAAAGGAAGAACTTATTTTTGAGAGATTTTTTTGTTCTCTAGGAAATCCAACTGAAAAAATGAAAATAATGCAAATTTTTGTGGAGCATTATAAGACAGAAGAGAGAGTATTGTTATAAAAAAGGTTCAAAGTCACTCATTTGAAAAAAACATGGGGTTAATAAAAGCACATACAAACCCAAGCCAGCAAGTGAAGAGAACATAGCTTCCTTCCTAAGGGAGATCTGAAGTTTAACAAATAACATAAAGCACATCCAAACAGACTTCTGTGGATTAAATTTAATACAGTCGTACATTCATGCTGTGGCAGTAACTTTCACATTATTTGTATGACTACTTCTCTCAGTTGACTCATGACACAAACACAAAGGCACAATTCAAAAGAATACACTAACATTTACAATAGTTTTAAATGTGAAGAAATAACAAATTTGAAGTATTAAAATATTTGAATATGGATAAACTTGAATATTTTTAATTCAAAAAATACTCTCCAATGTTGTCTCATTTACATGCTATGGCAGTTCCAGGTATCCAGTGACTTATTTTCAGTATCTGTTCAACATATAACAAGCAAGCATTCACATGACTGGATAGCTAAAGAATCCCGATTTTTAAATATCTCAGGTATTTTTTCTTAATGAATCTGGCTGAAAGTCCTACTTCTTCCATTTTAGTTAATCATATAAAAATAAATGCCTTTCCTTCCCCCCTTGAGAGCATTCAGTAACTTAGCTATTTTACATCAGATACATATGAATTTAACAAAGGATTACAAAACACTGAAAGAAGCCAATTATGGTGCTTTAAGGTAATAAAATGCTGGAATCAGACTGACTCGTTGCAAATTTTTGGTGTCAAAAGAAACAGGTATTTAAATAAGGTGAAGAAATATAAAACTTTGTCCTAAAAAAAATTTAAGAGATACTACTGATTTATAGAACTAAAAGATGTTATTTTTAAGCATTTGCTAAGAATCCTTTACCTTAAGACCAAATATTTGGAATACATTCATAGATATTAAAATATAATTCTGGGGAAAAACAAGAAATTAACATTTTCTTTCTATATTGTTTTATAAATTTAGGTCCTCTGGGTTATTAAGATACTAATTTCAGTCGTTTTTCAGTCCGAAAGCAGCATGTTACTTCTTCCCTGCTTTATTTCATGTCCTGCAAAAGCTAATTATAAATAAACAATTAAAAAGTGACCACTCACCTTTTACTTTAATCACACAGCTATGTTTCAATGTTGGTTGACATTAACTAGATCTCGGTTTCTCGAAAAGTATTTATCTAGGTCAAGAAAAACAGGCAGAAGGAAACCTCACCCAAATTATGCAGCAGTGTTAAGCAAATTCAGTTTTTGAGCCAAAATTAAATCATGTCTTTAAACTTTCCCTTATAACTTTTCTTATAGCAATATAATTTTTGCGTTCTGGCCAAAGGGAGCTGCTTTCTTTGGCAGACAAAATCATGCTTCTGGAGAAACGCTGACTTAGATCTATAGAATCTGTCCCCCTTGTCAACAGAGCACTAACAAATAGAATATTATATATTTATTTTACCTAAACTGATCTCAAGAGACTGATATGAAAAAATTTTCAATCTGTAATATATTTTTACCCAATTTACATAATTATGTTCATTTTAAAACAATTTTCCCAAAAGAACTGGTTTTTGGCCAAGATTTAAGAAACTCCAAAATGTCTTAGCCAAAAGTTGTCAATTAAAAATTTAGCCACAGTGCTTAAGTGCAATGTTTTTAAAAACCAACTTTACACTACTGCATGTTCTTGGATATTTGGAAACAAATATATTTTGACTCCTGAGAAAAAACACTTGGTGGCACACTAAAGAATGATTCCACGAGTTTACAAAACATCAAGGCAGGGTACAGTTATTCCAAAACGATGGAAAATATCTGTGTGCCTTTGCTTTGTTTGAAGAGAAATGGTGTTTCTACTCAAGAGTTTTGAGTGCCAAAATTGGTAATTACTGTTTAATTGGTAATACTGTGCCACCAAAATTAGTTTTAAACGTCACTCAGAAAATAAACTATTTCTAACAATAACAACTTTAATTACCTTTTATAAGGACTGTATTGTAACTTTCATTATTAAGGGTCTTGTGTCTCGTAGGATTATCACAAACCACCTTTTAGATTCCAAATGCACTAACTCTAACCCAGTCCAAATTAAAAACGGTTCACATTCAGAAGCAAGAAGTACTATTGCACATTACATTTATATTTTAGGAATGTGTGTTCCCTCCCACCCAAAATGGATGCATTATCTGTGAATTACATGTCATTATCTGAATTTATAAAACTCAAAGTGCTTCTTCTCTTCCACTGAACAAGTACATTAATATTTCTGTAGTCTCAAAATACTTCATGAACCCTGAAATGATTCTCTATGGAAGGAGCCTCCTTTGCAAAATGTATGTGGCTAGACACCTGCATACCAAAGTCTCCAAGTATCTGAACAAATTTCTTGTGCTCCTTTCCAATCCAAGATCTCATTGGATCACATACTTGGTAAGGTGTTACATGGGTGTGAACAATAATCCCTGTTTGCGCAAATTCTTTCAAGACTTCTGGATAAGTAATCCAAGTATTGCTTCCTCCAGAATGACCGCCATCCAGCCAGTACATTGTTCTTATGCTGTTGATAAAAGCATGTATGTTCTTGTCTTTCTTAGCTTCTTTCAATTCAAAAAGCAACTGATTCAAAACAACACAACCTTTACTGAATCCAATCAAAGTAAAAGAAGCACCATTTAGTGATGGTGGATAAAAACTCACGGCAGACTCATCAAAGTTCTCACAGGGGCTCTCTTTTTCTCCCTGGCAACCATTAGTAGTATGAGAGGAACTAGATCTACAATTAGATGCTTTGGAGTCCTCATTCAAATCTTTCACATTCTTCTTTGATAGCAAACTGTTCTGACTCAAGCTAAAAGCATTAACTAATAACATATAAAGGTGCTTAAAAGCTCCAAAGTCAGTATTGTGTTCTGGAGCACCAAACATATTACTTTTCACAAAATTGTCATAGCAGCTGAATTTGTGCAAATGCATTCGGGAACACTTTATCACCCAAATATAACTATTGGGGAAGCGGTGAGCTAAAATGGTGGCAACATTTTCTAGACTCCAGTTTTCCCACTGATAATTCTCAGGATGATGAGTCATAATTTCATGATAATTCTGAAAGGTAAGAAAGATGAAACAAGAATTAAATACACATTTATATAAAATTATTTCCACAAAATAGTTTCCCATTTTTATTGTGGAAGAAGTTGAGCTGTTATGACCTATGGTTAATATGCCATAAATGAAAACTATAAATCTGTCATTACTTTCTGGTTATAAAAGTTTGAACAAATCATTTTTTCAGTTTAAGCCTCAAATCCATCAAGACAAGATTCTAAGACATAATAGCTAGGTGGAAGAGGGTATAAGGGAGATAAATGGTAATGTTACAAATATTCAATAAAAAATAAAAGGACATAATAGCTAAGTAACAGGAATTTAAATAACACACTTCAGAAGGATCATAGATATTTTTAATAAATTTTATTTAGTAAGCATACAATCTATTATTTGTAACACATTAACTGAAAATAAAAATTTGGTTTATTAGAGTTTCTGACCAACACAGTATTTTAAAATATTTTCCAATTAAACCTGCAATCCTGAACCCCTTCCTATTTGGATTACTCTAGCAACCTGAATGCTATATGTTTGATTTCAGTTTTTGTTTTACAAATAAAGCGGCAATAAACATGATAGAAAAATCTTTTTATATATCTGTGAATATATCCTTAAATTTCTAGATGTGGAAAATCTAGGTCAAAGAATATAACATAAGGTTGTTTATAGAGACTATAATAGTATCTTCCAGAGAGGCATGTTTAACTTTCCTTTTATCTCTGTTAAATTTCATAGGCACAGAATGATATTCTAGTTTGGATTTATTCAAAATCTGAATGAAGATGGAATTCTGTTCTTATATTTATTAGCCATCTGAGTGTCTACTTGTGCAAGTTCATATCTTTGCCCTTTTCAAATTGGATCTTATTTATTTGTAAGTATTCTATATGTATTAACAACTTTAGATTCCAGGACATGTATGTAAATTGTTTTCCTCTTAATTTTCATATGTAATTTTTTAAAAAGGGAAATTCATTCAAATTTATTCACTTATTCTATAAGATTTATTGGATACCTCCTGACTGGCTATGGATCAGAACAGACTAAACACTCCTGTCCACATGCAGCTCACACCCTAGGTGCACAGACACACAATGAACAACTCCATTAGTAAACAGAGCAGCACTGTCCAACAGAAATACGAGAGCCACATATAAAATTTTCTAGTAACTACAATTAAAAAGTTAACAGGTGAAAATATATCAAAATATATCCAAATATATTTGAGCCAAATATATCCAGAGTATTACTGTTTCAACATAATGACCCATATGAAAAAGTACTAAGAAATTATGACATTTGTTTTCTTACTAAGTCTTTGCAATCCAGTGTCTATATTGCACTTAAACAGCATTATCTCAATTTGGGTGCTAAATTTCCATGGGAAATACTTAATCTGAACTTAGATTTCCATAAAACTTTCAGGTGAAAAACTAGATTCACATACCAAGTTGTTCAAATATACTTAACAATTTTCCAGGACCTGACTTACTAGCTTTTAGATTTAAAGTTAAATATAATTATAAATTTATTTCCTTGATCAGACTAACATTTCAAGTGGTCAACAGCCACAAGTGGCTAGTGGCTGGACAGCACAAAATATTAGAAGGTGGTTAAGTACAATGGAGTATTACAAACAAAGCAGGGAAAAGGGAGTACAAAGTTTTGGAGAGGGTGGGAGATTCTTATTTGAAAATCAGGGTGATTTCCAACAAGGCAGTAACTGAGAAAGACCTGAAGGCACTGAGGGAGTGAATCATGGTATTTCAGGCACAGGAAACTGCAACTGCAAAAGTGGAAGCATGTTTGGCACAACCAAGAGGCCAGAGGAGCACCAGCGGAGTGAACAAGAGCAAGGGTCAATGCCAAAAACCAGAAAGCTACTGGGGAGGAGGGGCTTGTAAGACATTATGACGACTTTTGCTTTCGCTCTTACAGGGTTTGGAGTAGAGTGATGATATCTGTATTTTGAAAGGATTAGTATGTGTGAAAGGGCAACAGTTGCAGAGGCTACTGAAGTATAATCCCGATGAGAGAAGGTGGCTTGAACCACCTCTATGTAGTAAGAACTGAACTATAGGTAGTAGAACTGAAGGTAGTAATTAGTAGAATCTGAATATATTTTAAAGATAGAATCAGCAGCACTTGCTGATGGATTGGATATAGAATTTTTCTTTATTTTTAACATGTACTATAGATACCAGTTAAATGTACCTCCCTTTTGATTTAGTGATTGTGTTTCTAGGAATTTATCTCAATCATATACTTGTGTATATGCATAAAAATGTGATATATGTGTATCATATGAAAATATGATATACATTTCTGCTTCAAAAGAATGGGGCAGCTCTATTAATACTCATGGGTTGTAAAATACTTGACTAAAAAGCCCATGTATGCTATGCCACCATTTGTGTTTTTTAAAACAAGTTTGCATCAGCACAGAATATCCCTGGAGGGACTTAAGAACTGGTAAGAGGGACAGCCTTGGGGAAAGGGAATGGGAGACTAGAGGGTATGGGAGGAAAGGAGACTTAACCTTACAATGTACCACCTTAAGTGGACTATATTTGTAGCAAAATGAACATTTTTTCCATTAAAAATTAAAACTAATAAAAGTCATACTTCAAAAATTCAGTCTATGTACAAAGGCATAAGATAGAAAACTCTGTAAAATCACCAATTAAAATAATCATTAAAATTTTGGTGTCTAGCATTCATTTTCTTTAGTATACATACATATACAAGTATGTATATAACAAGAGTATTCTTTAATTCTCCCTCAGCAAGCTTATAAATACAGTTTTCACTTAAAAATATATTATAGGTATGATTCCAATCAGTAAATATAGATTTGCATCATAACTTTGACTTCCCATCAGAAAGATTTGTATCAATTTACATTCCTATTGGAAGTATAAAAGAATGTTTATTTTCCCACATCCTGGTCCACACTGGCTATTGACATTGATTTTTAAAAAATCTTTCCTACTATGATAAAATGTCTTACTTTTGATTTAATTTGCATGCCCGATTCCTAATCAAGCTGAGTATTTTTCTATGTTTATTGGCAATTTTCATTCTTTTCCTTTGCTAATTCTCCTTTTGTGTCCTTTAATCATTTTCTTAATAGGATGCTCCAAGTCCTTCATTAACAGTTTTCATCTCATTAATAGTTTGTCACATACGTTAAAAGGCTATCATTTAATTTTTATGGATTATTCTATTGCCTTCTGCACATAACATTTGTGATACAAGTATGATAAAAGTATCACAGGAGCTTATATCTAAGGGCTCATCTAAATTCTTTCTACAGCTAAGGAAACTGAGCGCCTAGGACTATAGTTATTTGTATAGTTATTTATGATTTTATGATTCTCTGTTGAGTCTCTACCATATAGGAGGTGGTAAATCTAAAAACCTGTTTGTTTTATTTCCCCCATGATCAGAGTGGGGAAAGCTCATACTAAGGAACTGTGAGTATAAAATATAAAAGTGGGATTCTTACTGTTATGTTAAAGCCCAGATTGGAGAACAATGGCTAAGTCCTCCCCATTAGAAAAAAGACACCAGACATTCTCATAGGACTTGCTAATAAGTAGCCATAACTGGTTCTGCAACCCAGATAATGATTGTGTCAATCTACAGAAAAGGCTGAAGACTATGGAAAGAGAGGGTTTTCTTTGGAGAGTTTTCATCCCAGTTGGGAATGTAATGCACTTATTCTCCCTGTAGGGGTAAATAACCCCTGTGCTTCTCCTCATCCCCAGTGAGGCAGGTGGCAAGAGAATCTCTTGGAGAGTTTAAGCAGTGTTTACTCCATGGGCAGATGCTAGCTAAGCTGCAAAAACTTACAGGGCTCCTTCATACTACTACTGAAGTGAAGGTACAAAGAATTTTTAGGAAAACATGACACGTGTCTCCAAGAATTTGTAGACATTCATGATAACGATTTAAGCTAGGTGGACTTGTCTTACAGCAGAGTGAAGAGAACTAGATTGGCTACAAGCTGTACTTTCATCAAAAAATGGGGCAAGGGTGCATAAAGCAGATATCCTAAGTGAGCAAAACAGAAGGACCACAACAGGATCCAGTCTAAGAACAAGGCTGCCTGACACAGTCCTAGGGGTACACGACCAGGTGTCAAATAATAGAAAATATATACATGGTGGGACAAAAGCAGGTTTACAATTGTGAGTATGTGAAACACACAGTTTATTCTTGTATTATTATTTATTATTATATTATTTTTCCATATGAATAACTGTAAACCTATTTTTGCCCTCCCCCCCACCCCCCCACGCACAGAGCTCTTAAAACCCCTGGGATTTCCTGGGTGATAGGAATGTCTTTTGTTCTAACGAGGTAACTCTTGGTGGGCTCCTGGATATGAGCTGGCGATCAGAAGTTTGGAACTTTCAGCCCCACTACCCATTCTCCAGCGAGGGACTAGAAATGAAGCCACCATAAAAATCCCCAAAATAAAGATTTGGGTAGCTTCTGGGCGGGTGAACATGTGGAAGTGTTGGAATGTGATGCTCTCAGAGAGACCAAGGAAGCTCTGCACCCCTTCCCATATACCTTACCCTATGCAGCTCTTCCAGCTGACAGAAAGCAGATCGGTGACTGCCTGGGCTGAGGAAAAAAAGAGACTGATGGAAATGAGACACAAGATACTTTTTTAGGATGGAGATGTTGTATAACATGGTTGTGGTATTGATTACATAACGATAATATTTGTCAAAATTCATCAAATTGTAAGTTTACTCTTAAAAAAAAAGAGATGTGTAAATCTATATCCTGAGGCTTTAAAAAGCAAGAAAATTAGAAAGTGTCTACTTAAAAGAATCCTGATCTGCCTCCAAAATCATTACTGATGGACAAGAAAAACATCAAGAGATACCTTAAGAAATATGAATTACTATGGCCTCAGCCTTCCTATAATTCAAATGATAAAAGAACAAGTATAAAATAAAGAGGACACACTGTACAATAAAAGATGATTTCAAAAGGAACATCAAGAAAGTAATGTAATTAGGATTTAAAATTACATGGACAACCAGATCCAATTAACACTAAACAATGAATCTATGTTAAGATGAGGCAAAGCTTCCAATGATACCCTGCAAAGTTCCACTTGGCCTTATTCTGTTCATTACGTATCCAAGTTATGAATAAAGATATAAAAAGAATGCTTACTTAATGTATATGTGATACAATCCAAAATAATAGTTCTAAAAGGATCAATACACTAGAAAGATGGCCTGTATGTAACAGGGTAAATTTCATATGGATAAACATTAAGCTCAAAACAATCAAGTACAGAGATATGGATAAGGAAACTTGTGCCTAAAAGCATTTCATATAATAGCCAAGACTTACTAAACACTTCATGCATTGTTCAAAGCAGCATTCATTCATTCATTCATTCTTTCAACAAGGTATCTCCTGAACTCCTACTACACGGCAATCACTAAGCATCACAGACTAACTTCACTGTGGTGATGTTTACATCAGTGAAGAAAACAGACATGAAGCTTACACGGTAGTAGTAGAAGATAGACAAAAAACAAAATAAATAACTAATGTGTTTGATTATTAAACAGGATGATCAGAAAATGCTTCAGTGTGAAGGCAACTTTTGAGCAAAGACTTGAAACAGGTGAGGCAATAAATCCTCGTGTATCTGCATAAAGACTGTTCTTGCAGGCAGTATCTTCAAAGCTTTTGAGGTGGAGTGTGCCTGAGGTGAAGGTGGAGAAGACTGGTGTGGCTGGAGCAGAGTAAAAAGAAAAAGGAGATAATCAGAAAATCAGCAAGGTGGAAAAGGTGAAGGCAGTGAAGGGTCTTATAGGTCATCCAGAGGCTTTCACTCTGAGTGATATGGGAAACTCTTGAAGCTTTCAGCAGAGAGGTGTGGCATGATTTGACTTACATTTTAAAATGACTATTGTGATCACTTTTAGATACATTAAGAAGGTAAAGCCACTTTGTTGGTGGATTAAGAGATGAGGTGAAAGAGACTAAAGGATAACTTCAAGATATCTAACCTGAGCAACTAAAAAAGGAAGTTTCCATTAACTGAGATGACTGCAGGAAAAACAGGTTTAGAGGCAAAGATCTAGACATTGTAGGTTTGAGATATCTATTAAAAATCCAAAATAAAATATTGCACACAGAAGTGGTCAGTCTAAAGTTTGTAGTGTATGTGCATGCTAGATGCACAAGTGTTGAAGGTCAGCAGAGTACAGGTCCTATGTAAGGCCACAGGACTGAAAGAGATCACCGAGGGACAGTAGACAGAGAAAAAGCCTAAGAACTGAGAACAAGGATGCTGCCACAGTTAAAAAGGTCATCAGAATGATGGGAAAGAACTATAATTCACTGGGTATTCACATATTTAACCCTCACTGATATCTTATAAATTATGATTGCTATTTTATAGTTGAGGTAGCTGCAATTGATCAGAGATGTAATAGCTAAAAAGTGCTGACACAAGGTTCAAACCTGGGCAATTTGGCCTAAAAGCCTTTTGATGCCTTATCCTCTATTTCTTTTCTAAAAGACCTGGATTTTTAGAGGACTTCATACTATGCATAAATCAACTGTATATCACTCTCCAAAAAGCTAATGGAATTTCAGGCTACATAAAGAAACAGATGATGTCAAAAAAAAAGCAGGTATTACTCTAAATGTAATGAGCACTTTTTAGATCTCACCTGAAGACTTGTACTGTACTTTGGCTGGCACACTTAAAAAAAAAAACAATATTTAGTAGGTGCTCAATAAAGGTTAGTTATCACACTATCACCATCACTATTAAAGATGCACACAACAGCTGGTCCACAAACTGGAAGTCTGTCAGCAACGTTATGCTATTTTCCCAAACTGAGCAATAGAGCAGTGATTAAATCAAGCTTCTCTTAAATCTTACTTTTTTTCCCCATAGTGTTTATTCAGTCAACTAGATCAGCCAATTATTATATAGAGAAAAAACTACAGATATCTTAATCCTCATTTGACTCAAGGCACAAAGTCTGTAAGTGTATCATTTTAAAGCATCAATTTCAAAAACGATAAATTAATATTGTTTAATGGCCATATTCTAGCTCTACCTGTCTACAGCAACACTATCCAATAGAACTTTCTGTGATGCTGGAAGCATTCATCTGTATGTGCCTTATCCATTACAACACACGCAAACCCCAGCTGCTGCTGAGCACCTGCAATGCAGCTAATGAAACTGAGAAACTAGATTTTTAATTATACTTAATTAACTTAAATTCCTACATATAACTAATGGTTGCAGTATTAGACAAAACGGTTCCGGATTAAGATCTCGACTGACACCCAACTTTCCAGGACAACAGAGCTACGGTTGCTTGCCTGCAGCTATAAAGATAATATAATAAAGATAACAATAACGATAAAATCACACAAAAAAACATAAGTACAGAATTTAGGTGAGCATCAAAATACTGACATGCTTAGCAAGTACTGTCCCTTTTCTCCACCCACCCTCCCTTACTTAAGGGTTACTGAGTGTCATTCCCTTGTCGTGGTGGTTTTTGTTTGTTTGCTTTTAAATTACTGCCAGTGGAACACTACGCCCTAAGTTAATTTAAAAGCCAGCTGTGGCTCCTACCCAACACACACACACACACACACACACACACACACACACACACACTCCTCTGAGAAACCAAGTCATAGAATGAGCATATATTCGGTATTATGTGTCTTATTCCTTCTGTTTCAAATTCAACTCCCTTGAAGCCTAGACTCTTCGAGGTCTTAACTCTCCAAGGACACCTTCACTCTGGGGCTACAAAAAAGGGGGATCAGGGGTGTGGAAGAGGTGGTTTTGGATTTCGTGGGATTACGGAGGAGCCACCACGTGTGGTAGTGTTCAGGTGACGCAAGGTACCTGGTGCCAGCTAAGAGGACAGAATCTGGGAAATGCGCACACATGCACAAGAGGAAGGAACAGGTGCCCAGGCAGGCCCCAGGTTACCTGCACATCTCCAGGGAAATAGAGAACGTGATGCTGGGGCGGCGGTGGCAGCTCCACCTCCGCCCGGTCTCCAGAGAGATCCCGCCGTTCAGGTCCCTCCACCGCAGCTGCCACCAGCAGGAGCAGCTCGTTGCTGCGCTGCGGATCGGCTCCCGGCACCGTGGACAGCTGCAGGCACCGGTGCCGACGCCCCTCGGCGGAGGGGGAGCATCTCTCAGAGCTGCTGCCTTCCAAGTTCATGGTTCCGGCCTGAGAGCGCGAGGCTGCGATTCCTAGATGCGGCAGCAAAAGCAGCAGCGGCGGCGACCGCAGGAGCCCGAACCCCCACATGAGTCGCCGCCGCGAGAACGGTTGACGGAGAGGGGAAGGTCCTTAGGGAGGGATTTCACAGGCCGCTCAACGGTCAGCGGGAGCGCCCCCGGCGGGAGTCAGCGCGGGGGCGACGACGGCGTCACAGGGAGACGTCTGCGCGCAGCGTGCGTAAGGAAGGAGGGGTGTGCGTGTAGTCGGACTCGGGTTTCCGGAGGGGGCGACGGGGGGGGGGCGTGACCTGAGGAAGGGCGTTTGTGATTGGTGAGTTCTGCCCTAGCGGGAAGTTCCAACCAAAGTCTGGGAAAGAGCCCGAGGACTGCAAAGAAAGAATGAACCAAAGACACCCGGCTAGAAGGCGGGCATTTGTGGCGCATGCGCAGCAGCAGGCGCGGCCTGAAGGTCCATGTCCGGTAATAGAGAACAGGGATTTGAGTATACCATGTGCCAGTTTTGATAGGCTTACCTTTCAGTGATGGTTTTCTAGTCTTTTCAGCCTTAAAATGAACATAGACATAAAGTTATAAGTGGCATAATTCTGCCCTGTACAGAAATCTGTGGGAAGTCTTCTACATGTTCTGGGTAAAGGGAACGTCCCTCTTATATCCTGGAGTTTTCTTTGTAGGTGTATGAAGATGCCTAGGTTCACAAGAATTTGTGGTTTGATAGGAATTCTAATGCATCTCCGATCTGTAAGGGTGGTTGGTGACCCGGGCTGTGAAAGAATTCACAAAGAGAAGAAAGTGTAGAAAGTTAAAGATTTTTTTTTTTTTTTTTTTTTTACTTTTACTTTCCCAAGGGCAAGAAAGTACTAGGTTTAGAGAAATGCCCCAGCCTGAGGGGTGGGAACTTTGAGCTTTTATTAGGTGATTGGGGTAGTTGTACAGCAGGATGTTTCAGTTCGTCTTTTATAGGCTGCAGCTTGTCTCCCTGGGAGCAGGGTTCTGGGACCAGGGTTCTGTCGCTGTGGTCAGTTTTGTAAGTTCCTAGAGCCTCTGCACCTTCAGGGCGTTTCCAGTAATCTTCAACTCCTGAGGATAAAGGCTCATAAAACAGTTAGGGTCAGTCATGCATTATGGGGTCCGGCCAGTTCTGGGAAAGAGGGCCTGAAAAAGTGGATTTTGTCCTATTATGATTGGTAGTGGGGAGCAGAGCATATAGATTGATTGGGACAGGAAGAATGGGGGCAAGACATTATTTATTATACATTTGCTGTTATTTGCTATTTTAGGGTTTTTGAAAAACAGTTTGAACAATAGGCACATCATAGATGGCCAACAACTATCTGTGGCCAGTTGGGTAGGAATAAGATTTGGCCAAGTGTATGCTATAGACAGGGAAGGGAGTAGGGGGAGACCCAATGCTCTAAACTCAAGGGCTTGTGAGGCAAGGAATGGTAAAGAACCTTGTGGGGGAGAATATTAGTGAGAATTATAAAAATTACAGCCAATATTTATTGAGGCCTTACTATAGGCCAGGAATCAAACTAAGCACTTCATATATTAACTGTCCTGATTCTATATATATGTGTGTGTTTAAGCACACATACTGTGTTCTCAGTTCCACATACCAAGTATTGATAGCTTTAAGAACACAAATGAGCAAATGATACTTTCTTAGTGGCATAGAGGTATAACATGCCGTCTAATCTGGTCTAAATTATTGGATTCTAGCTGACATCATAATAGTGTAATCAATCAAAAATTATTTCATTGATATTACTAAGTAAATCTGCTTTCTAAACTAACTGGTTACAAGGAAGCAGAAACTAATTATATAATAATTAATATGTAACCATATTCAGGCAACCAGCCTTCACTCTATTTTGCAAATAATATACATATTGTTACTTTATTTCATTAGGTAGATGATTACTAAAAATTTAATCCGAAAGCCCAAATTTGTACATGCACTTCAAATGCAGTTTTTTATTTTTGTGGTCTTTTTTTAGGTTGACCTTTTAAGTGAATCTATCACTATTGAAGCAAATGGAGAGTTCTTATGTTTTGGAAAGAAAATTAATTGTAGTAAAGATAAATACTACAAAGGTCTCAATATCTCTAATAATACTGAGGTCCTTGAGAAATACAAATTAAGATTTAAGGGGCAGAGTAAAGAAGCAGACTAAAGTAAGCACAAGTTTTTTTCCCCACAGGCAAGGATTTACACAACCCTACAAGAGCCATTTCCAGAAAAATTAACAGTTCTAATTCATCAGTTGATTTATGCTCAGTCATGGAAATTGTCATTTCTTCTTATAGGCCCTGTTGGTACTATTGTAATATCAGTTTTTCTCTTTCCCTCTCCTCTTCCTTTTTCCAGGAAGACCAGTTTTGTAAATCAGTACTTTTCTAATATCAATAGGCACAGCACAGACAGCCCAGCATTTTCCCTCTTTATTCTCTCTTGCAGCGGGACTTTCCCCACAAAAAGTCTCACATATACAAAGTTACTGCAACCAGTTGTTTGAGTTCACTCTTCCTTTCTAACTGACAAAGATCTCCCCTGGGATTTTATTAAGCTTATAGAACCCAAAGGCTACTGCTCAACTCTGGACTCTATAATTCTCATGGGATCCTGTGGGGCTCTCAGAACTCTTTTTATACTACTCAGTATAATAAGTAGAAAAAGTTGCAAAACTAGAAAGATTCTAAGAAAGGCAAATTTACATGGAAAGGGCAACATAAAGATCACAGATTCCGATATCTATAGAGGCTAGGACTATATAATAAAAAAGCAAAATGGGCCATATGTAATCAATAAGGAGTAATAAAAACTGAAAAAAAACCAGAGGAGCATGTCATATTTGAAGTAGGCAGTCATATTTACTAGAAGCCAGTTATAAAATGAATGCAACATTTTGTCAAACTTTAAAATTCTTCAAGGGAAATAAGATACAAAGATATTTATGTATCATTCCTCAAATGTTGACAACTAATTAATAATGCTTTTAAAATATTTTATCAAATTAAATGCATGCATAGGCCAAATTTGGCATATGGACCACAAATGGGCAATTTCTCTACCAAAAAGTAAAATGAATAGATACAGGAGAAAAAAAATAGGGAGAAAAGACAGAAGACCTTAAATGTGGGTCTCTATTGAGGATTGAACAGGAAAGGAATGGGGGGGCAGATTTTGAGAAGCTTTTTTTGTGGGATTGGATTGGATACCATTTAATATCCTTGAGAGATTACAATAAATATTTTAACTTTTACAATTTTTCTTGATATTGGACAGGTGGTTTTTTTTCTGTTTTATTAAGCTTTTGAGAAGAGCAGGCTTCACATGAAGTTCACAACTATAGCATATAATTTTTCCCCCAACATACCTGATAAGATGAGAGTAAAGGCATTTGGAGATTTGAAAGCTTATTTTATAACTACTTTCACTAGCTAAGTGGCACCTTTTAACTTCTCTTCTAGTATATGATTTATACATATGCTTCAGCAAAATCCATGACTCAGCAAAATACAAATCACTATAATCCAAGACCTTATGGATTATCTTTAATACTTAAATCAATCTTCAAATGCAATGATGTTGGTACATGTAGTTCTATACATTGTACTTGACTCACTATTAAAAGGGTAGGAAAAATTGATTAAAATCTTAATAAATGTTTAATCAAATACTGGGAAGCCAAATCCAGCAACACACAAAAAGAATTATACACCATGACAAGTGGAATTTATTCCAGGAATGCAAGGTTGGTTTCACATCTGAAGATCAATTAACATTATATACCCTATCAATGGAATAAAAAGCAAAAACAACATGGTAATCTTAGTAGACATAGAAAAGTCATTTGACAAAATCTAACACCCTTTCCTGATAAAGAAAAATAAAATCAGCAAACTGGGTAGAGAAGGGACTTTCTCAACCTAATAAAAGGCATTTAATAAAAAAGCACAGCTAACATTGTACTTAATAGTGAAAGACTGAATGTCTGCTCCCTAAGAACAGAAAGAATTTAAGATGTCTACTCTTGCCATTTCCAATCAACATTGTATTGAAGGGTCTAGCCAGGGTGATTAGGCAAGAAAAAGAAATAAAAGACATCCAGATTGGAAAGGAAGAAGATTAATCATGCAGATGACATGATATTGTATACAGAAAATCGTAAGGAGTCTACAAAATACTATTAGAAATAATAAATGAGTTCAGCAAGGTTGCAGATCAATACACAATTGTAATTATACACACTAGCAATGAACAATCTAAAAGTGAAATTAAAACAATTCTGTTTACAATAGCTTTAAAATTAATCAAATACATATGGAATTTAATGAGAGAAGTGAAGAACTTCTGTACTGAAAGCTACAAAACATTTTTGAATGAAATTTAACACATTCCTAAATAAATGGAAAGACATCCAATGTTTGTGGATGTTGGGAACTGCCCTGCCTGGTATCAGAAGATGTAACCCCCACCTAGGCTAAGGCTAAGGCAATGCCCTTGGAACCGTAAACCAGCAAGAAGACAAGCTTATCTTCCTGACAGGAGCGCTGCTTCTGCTCCTTCATACCTCACCCTGCCTGGACTCCAATGCTTGGTCAGTTAGCCAATGACGGATAAGATTCCCCAAGGGGGGGAATGACCTAAGACAGGCACAATCATGTGGGAAGCCCCCAAAAGAAGGACTTTGGGGGCTACGGCAAAAGGGGGTGATGGACTCTCGCCCTTTGGCTTTGACAAAGCCCGAGTCCTCCTGCTCTGCAAGAAAATCTCTTAATCTCTTGGCTGCCTTACTTCCCTTGCTCCACCTAAGCCTGAAACAATGACAGGGTGGTGCTGCCCTGTGCTGGAAAGGGCAGATTCCCAGGGTGATCAGGACTAAGAAAGAACATGTAAATTCCTGTGAAACCTTCTTTGTTTAGAATGCTCTCAGTTGAATGAGAAGGGTCCAAGGAGGAAGTTGTTCCTTAAAGTCTTACAGCTCTTTGACCCTGACTCAAAATAGACCCTCAGAGTTCCTTGTTACCTATCGTTTGATCCTTACTTCCTCACAATGAGTGATGTGCTTTACCTGAATTCTTATGCAAAACGAACCCAATAAAAGCCAGATGGTAAATTGGCGCGCTCCCCACTAGAGGGGGTGGCCGTTCTGTCCCTACTTCTCCACAGAAACTGCT